AGTTAAGCTTTTGAAAAATCGTCTGACAAAATTTAGATGGTTTATATTACTTTAGATTAAAATTTTCTATTGTAAAATAATATAAAAACTCATATAACATTTTGTCGATATAAAATAAGTTCCAATCAGAACGAACTTCTATCATACTATATAGATCAATATAAAAATAAAAGGCTAGTTACTAGAACTATTTTATATATAAGTTTATCTAATCTAATAGCATTATTAAAAATTAAATCCCGTAAGGTTAAATGATTAAATTCAAAAACATTTGCTCGTAGTTTTTAAATTTATGAATTGTTAGTAAAACTAAGAGCAACATTTTGGTGATCAACGTTTACAAGACATAAATTGCGACTATTAAAAATGTCCATGTTTTTCTCTCCAAGTACTTTAGTACTACGTAGCGACTGTTGTGTTTCATAAGTTGTTCCTATAGCTAGCAAACTCCTTGGTCCAATATCAATAAATTTCGATTTCATACTAAGAATATAGTAGCATCCAATCAATCCAATTAATCCGGATAACACCAATAGTGAATAAATTACTGGCCATCGATTAACAACGCATGTATACTTTTCTTCAACTTGTAATTCCACTTTCATTCCATCAGATACTTTATTAACTTCGCTTAATGCAACCATAAACCTATTTTGAAATCTATTTGTTATTTGTGCAGCATCATCCGAACTGTTGACAAAAAATCTCGAATAATTGTTACCAAGCCATATATCAGATGGTAGAGGATATCCTTTTCCATCAACACCAACGTTTGCAAATCCTCCCAATAAAAAGAGTAGTGCTCTTACTTTACCAGCAAAAGCTAAAGCCATAGTCAGATTACCATTCTCTGCTCCAATAAATTCACAATTTGTACATTTAGTTTCTAAATTTGGAATAAGAGTACCATTTTGTTGAATATCACCTGATGTAAACACAAGCCGCGAGTCTAAATTCTTGACCATACTTGCTTTTTCCCACGTGTCATTAGACGTTGCATGAGCAGCTACATCATATATCTTGGCTGTAGCATTACATATTGTATAATATCCATCTGCACTTACTTTAGCATCTGTACCATTTTTATTTCTATAAATTGCTGTTGTCCATTGTAATCCACCTGTTATATTAGGTAACATTGTCATAGAAATAACAAACTATATATCTCTTTAATATAACACATAACAATTTTTGAATAGAAGGCTCCTTTTCAA